ATTCTTTACGTAACTGATTTAACAATTTAGGCTACTGTTTTGTGAATCAAACATCTCAAACACCCAGTCTAGAACTACAATGAACAAGAGTGGTGACAGAATACAGCCTTGCTTGACACCCGTGGTTGAAGTATATGCGTGGCTTGATTTCTTAATCTGCCTTTGTAGAGTACCTTACATATGAATCTTTCCAAGCTTTTCATTATAATATTAAAATTTTTTACGGAACGCCAATTGCCAGATGCATTCCCTGTTGATAGACTGAAAAGCTTTTTCATAATCCACAAAAATTACATCTTACATACTGTTGTATTAGATTGATTGTATGATTCTATGATAGCTCGCATAGTATTAATGTTATCAGTGCATGAGCGGTTAGAACGCAAACCAGTTTGTTGCTTACGGAACCTTTCATTTAGTGGTTGGATGATTCGCTCCAATATAATGTTGTCAAAAACTTTGCTTACCGCTGAAAAAAGCGAGATTACCCTCCAGTTATTACAATCAGAGAAACTACCTTTCTGAGGTATTTTCTCAATGATTGCTTCTTTCCATTCTGATAGTACCTCTTCAGAGTTCCAAATTTCTCTAAATAGGCAATCAAAATTTGTAGATATAAATCCCGGTAATGAGTGTTACTATAACGTTACTCAAACGTCATATATCTGAAGTTATATAGTATTTAAAACTTTTATTTTAAATTTTACTTAAACTCTTACCCCAACAATTTCCCCATCCCATGTGAAAGTGTTAAAAAAGCTTTAATTCTTATATGAAAATAAGACTATATTGCAAAATTGTAATATGTCTAAGCTTGTATATAAATTGGACCTCAAAGTAATGTTGAATACAGTGCTAGCTTGAAAACTTGAACACGTATTCCGTGAACGTTGGATTATCTAAACACTTTTTCTGTTTCTTTCAAAATCAAAGTTCTAAAACATGTACAAAATTTTTGGACCTATGTAAATGTGCCCTAGCACATTTTTGAGAGAGCACTATAAATAAAATAATTAAATAGTATGTATTATAATATTATATATTATAGTACAAATGTAGTACAAATATCACTTAATGTGATAATTTAATAATTAACATGTTTTCGAATACTGTTTGATGATATGGAAAATTAACTTATTACCTTGAAAACAAGTGCTTGACGAGGATGTCAAAATTACATGAAAGAGGTTGTGCAAAGCACCGTACGCATCACCCCACGACCATTCAACATCAAATGAACTAAAATGAGAGTACTCAACGCCTAAAAATACAAGGCAATGGTAAAGAGCCTTTTACTTGACTGCACCTTGCGTTCTACGTGTGAAATTCGAAATATTGTCGACGTACCGAGGCAAGTCTTTGATGAAGGCCGGCTCTGGTGTGTGCGCCGATAGAACTTTCAAGTGCCTTTCTCAAGTATCGGTACATGCCATTGCGTGCAAATTATTCTAACGCGGTGCGTTTCAATTAAAAATACGTACTCTTATTTTCTTTATGAATTTCGAAATCAGAACTAAACCAAAAGTCTTTCTTACGACTCATTTACGGCTAACGTTAAGAAAACAAACACTAATGCAATACTTAAGCGCTTAGTGCCATATGTCCCTCAAGTATTCCTGCTTCTATCAAAAGCATTCCATTTTTGTAAATTTGTTAAAGATATAAAAATGAAATTACTTTACGATTAATTGCAATCAAGATGATTTAATTTCACCAAAGCTTTGAAAATGGAAATGGTTTGCATTAGCTGTAGACTTGTAAATATGTTCATTGGATTAGTTATACGTAACCACAACCATAATTGTTTCTTTTACTATATGCATATAAAATCTTTATATATACATAGAATATAGAAGGAGTAGATAATAGTAGTTTTGACTTAACCACTTATAATGATAACCCGTTTATTATTTACATTTATATATCTGCAGACTTTCCAATTCGGATCAGGAGTGGATGCCTAAACGCAGATTTTACAAAAAGCATATAACTTGGATAGCCTGAAACTTATAAGAGATACTCCCTGAAGTAATGCGAACGCGATCCCGGGGGAGAAATTCCGAAGCAAAAGAGGAGATGTTTTAGTTTGTATACTACACAAAAGGAGTCGGACACACCATTCCGGTGACGGTGCATAAAGCATTCCAACACCTATCTACAAAAAAATTAAAAAATTAAATTTGTATTGAGTACGAATATCGTTTAATCTATTAATGGGTTTATGTATATAAGTATTATGTAGAAAATTTGATCAATTCGATTATAAACATTATGGAAAAATAAACATCTTTCAATAGAATTATTTTAAAAAATTATTACTATTGGACCTCCAATCGAATCCCTAGGGATGAGAAAAATCGTCCGTATAATGGATGATTTGATTTATCGGGTCTTTGAAAAATGGAAGTTAGGAAAAAAATTTGAGTTTTATCAAGATTTTTGTTGATTTTTATAAGTTCTTAACTTTTGGAGTGAAAAAATAAAATTGAGATATTTTTGTGTATAATTACATTTTAATAAATATTATACGTACATGCGATTAAGTATGTACAATATTTTAATTGAATTCTTTATATCAATAATAAAAAATCATTGCGTTATTATTGGCAAATAATAACATCATATATATATCAAAAAAAAAAAAGAAAACGTCAATAAGTTATTATATGGATTTGTTGAAGTGAAAGACTTGATCATTTTAGTTTGGATATATCTTCCCTCCTTCAGACATACGTTGTACATTGTCAGCAATACAAAAAATTCTTTTTCCTTTATTATTTTTAAAATTTCAGCTGGCACCTGATCTGGTCCAGATAGTAATGGAATGGTAATGGTATTTGGGGATTTTCGGGTCAGGCTACGGCCCCTATGCACTGCGACCAGTTTGATCTATTATGCACTTCTTTAGATATTTAGTATTTCGAGGAATCGAACCAGCTCCTTCGGAGAGATTTTTTTAAGGTCTTCATCCTCTAGTTGGTATGTACCTAAAATTTTGTTTCTTCTGCTGCCTAGTGCATCACAGTTGGTGATCAGATGTTCCATAGACTGTTCCTCATCACAGCAGAATTTGCAAATATTAGTGTCTGATATACCTATTTTATATAGGTGTTTGTTACATGTGGCGTGGCCTGTTAGTGCACCAGAGAGTGACTTAAGACTCTTCTTGCTTAGGTTAAGAGCGGTGTTTGCTCTTTTGGCATCAAAATTTAAAATTTTTTCGGACTGATATAGACCGTCTATTCCATTCCAGTATTCATTAATACTTTTTTTGATCCATTTCTTCGTCTCCTGTTTTATGTTCGTTTTATTGAAGCCAAAGAAGGAAGTTGGACCAATGAATGGTCCTTCTGCCCCTTTTTTGGCACAAAGGTCCGCCTTTTCGTTGCCTTCGTGTCCTTCATGTCCGGGTACCTAAATCAGAGAGATCTGGTTGTGGTTGGAATGCATTAAACAACTTGTGTACCCTCCATCGGGTACAGACTAGTTTATCAGAATCTGATCCAGATACTTTTTTATTTTAAAGTTCTTTAGCTGCAATTGTAAATTCTCTCCACGAAAATTTTAATGTCCTACGAGTGTATTTGTGTGACATTTACGTCATTCCTGATATCGAAACTTGGAAACAGGACATTTAAAATTTCGTTCATTTTCACTTTATGGTAATTTATGTTAATTACATTTACAGTTATTTCTGTGCCATCACAATTCTCAAAGTTTACGAAGCACACATTTTTAATTATACACTTCATTGTGCTTGTATTTCAATCGTAACAGATCCTAAATCTTCCATTTCTATTCATTGAACCGCGTCAGTAATAAATTCATAGGTCTTAAATTAGTTAATAAATATTTATTTTTTACATTCTTCCATGATCCAGTTTATCTGTATATCGTTAAGGATGTACTTTTTTATTCTTCAATGTCCGATATAGTATTTCGTATGTATTCCTTTCTCTATAAAATCTCAGACTTTTGAATGACACCCTGGTAAAACGATTATAACTGCAATGGAACTATTACCACAAAATTTTTATTCAATCAATTCCAAGAAAGTTTTAATGTTTAATGTTCTGTTTATACCATTTCTTCATGGACCAAAGCCAGTTTACAAATGATTCTTGGTTATCCGTATTTTATTATGAGCAGCATTTTCCATGGGCTGCCATTCAGATCTTTCATGGTATTGTGTTTCTTTGACTTATCAGTAACTAATGATTCAGTTTCAGTAGCTAATTAAATTGTTAGCCGTTCCTTGTCAATCTTATGAATATTCAAAAAAACAAAGCCATCTCATCGTTATTACAATTACTATCACTTCTTTTTCGTACATGAAAATCTTCGAAATTATACTGAATTTCGAATTTCGAAATTATCAATCTGCAATTACATTCAATTACATTCTTATCCTCACTAAAATCATTCTCCTATTTTTCATATTTAAAAATCTTTGAAATTATGCCTTTCGATTTCGAAGGAATTTCGATATATTTATTGATTTCCTTTTTCTTTTCTAAACAACTTTTCACTGCTTCCATAATATTAGCCAGATTGAATTTTTAATAATCTACATTGCAGATAAGAGTTCAAGCTTTAATTGAGATTAAATGCTTCATAAATAAAAACAAAGAATTGTGTTTTTCCCCAAAGTCAAACAAAACTTAACACTCAAATAAATCAAATATTATATTTCAAATTTTAAACGTAATGCATAATATGTTCACGAATTAAAAAAAAATTACAATTCAAATTGTAGAAATCAAACAATGCAAGGTAAAGAGAATGATGAATTTTAATGGATCAGAAGACTTTCAATTACCTTTAGAATATCCTCTATTTAAAAAAAAGAAGAAGACATTTAAACTAAAACATTTAATTAAAGACACTGTTTCTTGTAGTGAAAATAAAAGCATGTATTTACATTTAAATATTATATTGTATTTATAGTTAAAATAACATAAATTATTTAAATATTATAAAATATATATTTCATAATTCGCTCTTAATATAATTATGCTAAATTTTGTTGGAATGTTAACAATTGCACATTTCTGATTAACTAAATAGAACTATATTTCCACTTTCATTTCCAGCAAGAAATAAACGATTCAAAGGAAGTATAGCTAATGAAGTCAAAACACCACGAAATATCTCTGGCCGTAATTTTATAACCGTATTGGTAGCATGGGAGCTATTTATATCCGAATATATTCCAATACGATTGCCAGTAGTTGCATACACTAACTCTTTTCCAATCGTTTGCAGAAAATGAGCCGGTTCCGTTGAGGGTCTAAAACAAAAAACATACAAAATTAAGTTTAAAGAATAAAGACTGTTATATACTGAAACAAATATCAGATATGTAGAGCAACATACCTTAATTGATAATGCAATATTCCATCGTTAGCATGCCATACAGCCAAACTATGATCGAGTGCTGAACTAATCAGCTGATGGTCATTTGGTGCAGTAAGTTGCAATAAATCGCATTCAATTGGACGCCATCCATTTAAATATTGTCCAGTGCGACTATCTAGCATTACAATACTACCAGATGACAGACCAACCGCAAACCAATTACTAGATGGTGTCACTGCGATACAACGTATAGTTAAATTTCCTTGAGTCACAGGGCAAACTCGCCATTCATTCACATACTGCATACATCGTGAGTCTATAATTTTTACAGTTGACTCGGCAGTACCTGCTATTAATAATGGACTAGGCGATGATAAACATTTCACTATGGTAACAGGATTATATTTCGGTGACTCCAGAATTCCTAATGGTCGTCCTATAAATGGATCCCATATGTGAACACCCGAATCGCAGGAAACTGCATAGCGCATTGCATCCAGATATGCCAAAGAATTGATTGACTTTTTGTGATCCGTATATGTGAATTGACATGAACTGATAGTTTTACCATCTCCCTCGTTACGCAAGGACCAAATTTTTACGGTTTTATCCTAGTAATATATATAATATATATTTCGAATATTATAATTTTTTCTCAATTAATTATAAAATAATAAAATATTTAGGTATATAGGATAGAATGACCCAAACACCGCTTAAAAAAACAAAAAAATTAAGTAAATAATAAATAATTTATATTAATAAAACAAAAATAAATAAGAAATTTTAATAATATTAAACAAAAAGAAATATTGTTTATTATTTATTATATTATAATAAATCAACAAAAAAAGTTTGCAAAACTTGATCATTTTTAAGGTCAAAATTTATTCAATTTCTTATTTCCAATAAACATGTTTTGTTCTTTTTTTGGACAAATTTCTTACGTCCAAAATAGTTTCCAAATAATAACTTCCACCCAATATTTGTTTTTCAGGATACGATTTTTTTTATCCTGTATATTATCCTGTACAATAAACATTAATAATTAATAGAATTTTTGCTCTGTGAGATAAATGCTAACAACAATCATCTCTACTATCTACTATCTATTATCTTTAATATTATCTTTGCCTAAATCTATCTTTCACAGAAACTGTTAGTCAGAATTGGGGAGTTAACAATGAGTCCTTATTTGTATATAGATGAACACTCTGCTTAAACTTCAACATATCTCTTGGCAAATGATAAAAAAAAATATTTGATACATGTGATTGTTATGAAGAGATATAAAATATATTGATCGTAAGAAATTTGGCTCGAAAAATGGAAATATTTATTTAAGATTAAATTTTGATCGTACAGTATACAACCCAAAAAAAATAAAAGAAAAACGCTAGTTGTTGTCAATAATTATTAAGAAAAAAATGGAAAAGATTTTAATCTGAAATGCTAAGCCCAAAATAACAAAAAAAAATATTTTGTTTATACTATGTTCAGACACATCTTAATTACGCAAAAATCTTAATTTTATCTTCGTTTCAGATAAATTAAGTTGCTTTTTCTATATAAAATTCAGTTTTAAGGTAAGAACAAAATTAAGGAAAATTACCTTAATTTCGTTGACATTATTTTTTAAATAAATGTCAGTGACAGTTGACTTTAATAAAATCGGGAAAATATTTTGAAAGTAGTGCGAATTTTTAAATTTGAATATAGAAAAAAAAGTGTAACTGTTATTAATTTCAAATAGAGTGAATTCACATACCTGGAATCCACTAAATATAATAAACTACTGAATGCCATCCTTTATAGTTATAACAATCAACTTTTAAAATTTCCCAAATACAAATAGTGTTTGGAGCAAATAATTTTTAACATTTGTTTTGTAAACAAAAAACATATGATTTCCTTAATTTGGGACAGTATAAACACTTTCGAAATTAACTTAGGACGTGTGCGAGTTAGGCTAAGTTGATGCTAAACCAAATGGGAAATTTTTTGGGATTTTTTGCACTGCACACATTTAGCCATTTAACAACACGTACCGACACATCACTACATTATCGGCACAACTTAGAATTTCCCTCATTTAGAACGCAACTTAGCCTAACTCGCACACGACCTTAACTTCATTTTTACGAAATTAAGGAAATTTAGCTGTTTTAACATAGTATTAGGGTTAAACAATTATTTAACCCTAAAAATAGAAAAAGTTTATTGATTATTATTAAAAAAAAAAAATTAATTGGAAAATGTTTAACTCAGGAGATAAAAAAAATTTCATTATTATTATGAAAAAAATTCTTTATAATAATAATTTCTTAAGACGAAAAAAAAATAACCGCTAAGAATTTTTTCTTAGACGAATTAAAATTGTTAGGCACTTTTATTTTCAAAATTATGAATTTTATTATGGATCTCTGGTTAAAATTAAACAAAAAGTAATAATGCAATAAGAACTAGTGTTCAAATGATTCTAGTTTGTTGTGGTTCTGCTTTAACTTATTATGTACTTTTGATAACTCATTATGGAGAATTTAATTCATTTGATAGAAAATATCTATATAACACTATAAGAAAAAGTTAGTCCATTTATGAGAACTCTTTAGAATTATAGACAACAGGTGACATTAATTGGCAAAAATGCAAGTAAGGTGGTTAAAACTATTAATTTTTGCAAAAAAATAACCATTCTGAAAGATCAGAAGGAAATTCACAAAAAAATTAGGAACTAAAAAAAACAATTAATTGATAAATATAGATTAGAACATTTTTAAGAATATGTATCACTGAAGCTATACTTCAGCGACACATATCTAGACAAAAATAAATAAAAACCGCAAGCCAATATTTATTTTTACTGACTAAAAAAGGTCCTATCTGAAGAGCTAAGTAGTAGATTGTCGATAAATTACAAGCAAATATAAATAATAATATAAGCTACTGATTTATTAAAACAAAATATATAACAAAAATGAACAAATGAATGAAAATATGTAACATCTAAACAGAATGAAATTTCATGAAAATTCAATTGGGAATAAAGTGATTGGATGCTCAAATTATCTAGAGAGAGAGATAGAAAGAGTATATTAGTATCAATAATATTTATAAACTACATATTTTACAATATATGTATTTTACAATACAATTTTGAACTAATGATTAAATCGATCATTATAGACAAACTGATCATATATTATCAGTTAATTTAATCGTTCATTGTCAGTATTGTTACAGTAGATCTACATTTACTTTTGGAGAATTTTTTTATTGAGTAGTTAACAGCTTAGTTAAACCGATTTACTTTACCAGAATTTCACGAAAGGTCGGATCTACTCGTCAACAACGACGACCAAGTGCCGTTCAACACCCCCTAAAAGGACTTCACAAGCAAGTCCCAGCGGAATATTAAATAATAAACAATAACCACTAAATATTTATATTAGCAGTAGTTATCGAAAATACTAATGGCGAGCAGAAATAAAAAAAAAGAATATAAGAAATATATTCTTTTATTTCTATAATATATATATATAGGGTTAGACAATTTAAGTTTTACCTATTCAAGCGACCATATCTTTTTTTTGAGCAATTATTTTTTATTGATTCAAATTACAAAAATTTGTGAAAATAATCAAAATTTCAGAATACATTCACTCTAGCTCAATGTGGCCATATTTTGCCGTAACTATGGCAAACAATTAAGAAATAAGTTGGATGCTTCACGAATGTTTGGAAATTCGCAACGTTCGTGCAGTCGAAACAACTCCATTACTTTTTCGAATATGCATTGGATGCTTCGATATTTTCAGTTCTTTGGGCATTTAATTACCACTACGACTCGGAAAGTCGAGCTTTGACTTTCACAAAACTCAAAACCCGTTGATCTACGTGAAGATATCAACATTGAATCTAGCTTTAAAAACAAAAAATCAATGCTCTCATCGTGAGATACTGCTTCGAAAAAATTTAAAAAAGCTATGAAAAATTGGAACTTCAAAATACAGTTTTTCAGATGCCAGATCATTTTTTATAACTGATGCCATAAAATGGACTATAGACTCATTTACTCAAATTGTGTAGTCATTTTCTTGTCATTTGAAATTTTGCAACTCTTAAACAACCAACCCAAATAAATTCTTATTATAGCAGTAGAATACAACATTTGGTATTAAAAGATTTTTTTTTTCACAAACCTTTGATGAAGAAATGAAACTGTTTTCGTTGTCTAATGCTATTATTGAACGCACAGAATTTGTGTGTCCGCTGAAAGATTGTAGTTTAATTTGTTTTAGATTAATTGATGAATCCTGATCACTACGACCGACTTCATGACGCCAATATGATAACCAATTTCCCCTAACATGCCTGCCTGTAGGTATCTGCTCGAATTTATATGCCACCATATCTAAAACTTCCATTGGTCCGATATCTTGTTTCGTTTGTTCAGTAGTAACAGCATTTGCAAGTTCAATTCGATTGCCTACAACATATGTACCAAAACTATTGGTTAAGCATTGTTCCACTTTTATGTCGGTTGACTTTGTCGCATTACTATTACTATAGTTATTAGTGTTAGTGGATGATATGGATGATTTGTAGTTGGGTTGCTCATACTCATGACAAAGTGTTAATATAAGTTGTAAATTCAAAAGCGTACGCTGCATAATGGCTTCTCCCAAAAACCGTAAAAATGATAAATAGGCGGAATGTGCAAGTTCTGGACTAAAAATATATCGAATTTCCTCATTAGCACGATAAATATCTTGACTTGCACCAGCAGTATCATTTTTAAAAGCAGTAGTGTTAGTGGGCAAAAAAGGCATAGTTTGTTGTTTTGATGTTTTTAAATAATCACTTGAACCATAAACTTTGTCGAAAATAAGAAAAAAAGGGCGTAAAACTGGAATGCATAAATGTTCCTTTGACATATCGGGACCAATACGTATGCATAAAACATAAACAGCATCGAGTAATTTGCGTGTTAATACAGATCGGCCTAAAAAGCTATTAGGCATTAATTTAGGAGTGGAATCTAGGAATCTCACTATTGGCAATAAAATTGATTCTAGAATGTCCTGGAAATAATAATATAATAATATAATATATGTAGATATAACACAGTTGCTTACTTTTAATCGTTCCATTATAGTTACATCTTTTAAACATGGTATTATACACTTTAACAACTGTAAGGAACTTATGATTGCACCTTCAAGATTACCAGTTATGCGATTGGAGCTCTGTACTATTAATTCACCAATATATGGGAGATACTGAAAAAGTATTACCTCTTCACCGTAAAGAGCTGAAAGTAAATATAAATATGCTGTATATAATAGAAATAACACGAAATAACAAATTTTTACTTTATTGTATGAAAAGTCTGTGAAATTATATTTTATTTGCTAAATAAATCAGCAGTACACTGAGGTCAACATCGTGACAACCTTACTAAAAAAAGATTAAAAGGCGCTTATATCTGTATTTATACAGATAGCCCAAGCCACATTTAAGGCAATGACATCTTGAAATCATCCTTCAAAAGTTCTAGTAAATTGCTATGGCATGCTACAGCTACTGTAAAACAAAGACATATTGGTAGATGAATTAGTGGCATCGAGTTCAGAGATAATAAATCAAGAACTGAATCATCCACTCAATTCTGTGCACCTAAGCATTGCTGTACTATAAGTTGAAAGAATAAATAATAAGTTTGAAAAATGATTTGTAGCCGAAGGAAATCGCTACTGGCGCGACACTTTAAGTAATTTCCAGTCTAATATCTACGATAGCATATCTCTCCTCAGTAGAACAAAACTAGTGTTGTGGATAGGTTATCTGACGGATCATTATGGCCTGCATTATAATCTTAACAAGATGGAACTATCTGAAGAAACAGAATACATCACTGATTTAGAGACCGATGAGACCTCTAGTCACATTCACTGTAACTGTTCGACTGGGATGTGGGCAAGAAGGAAACTGCTAGATCAGAAGTACCTATCCTTGTCCGAAGTTACGATACCCGCAATAGCTGATATTTTATCTTTTATTCGAAAGATTAATTACCTTGCGTTCAGTAAGGGTCGATAGGCAACATAAAAGATTAATCATAGTCGCAGTGTTTCGCTCTCTGGCAGCCAGTAACATATGTACATATTTATTTTCTATTCTATGTTTGTAATGCCTCCTGCGTAAAGACTGCTGAAAAATGGTTATTGTGCCGATAAAACATGGTTTAACTCAAGACGATAATTGTGACATATGCAACATACGTGTGCTATAGATATGTCTAACCTGAGACCACGAATGAAATACAGTCAAACTATCGTAACTATCGCAATAGAATCGTAAAAGAACCACTAAAGCGTATAGAAGCAAACAAAAAACAGGATATTGCACTTATGGATTGCATAAATCATGAAACAAAAGCTTGAGATATTGATGCAAGTACTCAAACGATAGCGCACTGCTTTAAAAAAGCTGGGTTTGCCCAATTTTCGACAGATTCCTTCGACATTCCTTTAGTTTTCTTAAATAAAATTGATGAAGACCGTGAATTGATGAAACAGATTTATTAAGCGTAGTTTAAAGTAAATAAAATAACTTCCAATGCTTCTCTTAACGATTATAGTGTGCTTGACAATGAAATTTGTATATCAAGCTTTTTTACAGATGATATTATTAAGCATTATAGCTCTGAATTAGTGGATCCGATTCTAGGAGCAACGAAAAGAGAAAAAAGAGGGTTCGATGTATGAAATTGTTCATCAGCTTTCGAAGAATAAAGTAGAAGATTCATTAAAAATTCTATATTTTTTTTTTCAAACGAATGATACTATAACTGATGATCACTATAAGGCTTGGAATAAATTGGAATCTCTTTTAACTAAAAATTCACTATAACTTCTGGGCTGTATTCGATTTCAAAAATATACATAAATAACTTAAAATATAATTCTACTTTTTTTCAAAAACAAAAAACTTTTTTAAATCAAAGTCTCCATAAGTCGAACCATTCTTTGTAAAATGGTACTTCAAGTTATGGAACTCTCTTATTTATAAATAGGCTTGACATTATGTAGTATAATTATTTAAAACAATATAAAACAATAATTGAAGAAACTCTTTTAGCATATTTGACAATTCAAAGACTAGCTCAATAAAAACTAGTACTGATATTTAAGTTTCAGTGTATTTCAAATATGAGTGTGTATTGATAAATTTTAATTAAATATGTATTTTAAATATGTATTCTAAATATGTTATGTACAATATATATTTTACTTACCGGATATTGATGCTAAACATTTAAAAACTGTATCAGCCGTTCTGTCACCAACAACTCGAGCATCAGTAATTGAAAATTTGTTAAGATTGTTATGGTCACTGGAAATATTTACTTCTGGCAGCAGATTTTCTTGTCCAACATAACACAAAGAAGCAAGTTTTAACAAATTTCGTGCAATGTAACGGGATGTCAGCACAGGACCTAAACGATAAGACAACCACACCAAACTCTCTGCACTCATTTCTGATATGCGCTGGCTCTGCACGGTTTCACTTTCTGTCGTCTTATGCACGTGAGGAACTTGCGATACTTTTCTATCTTCTCGCACTTTTGTATCGTATTCCGTATTTTCGTTTTTTTGCTGCATTTCCATTTCTTTGCAATGCTCTTCGACAACACCAGAAATTTCTTCAAAGGAATTAACACTTTTTTTCGAACCAATTTCGCAATTAATGGTGCTAAGCTGATTTGTACATGTTAATCCGATAGGTGGAATTTTGATTTCAGGCGATTTAATGCCAGTTGTTGATTCATAACCACTTGGTTTCGTAAATATATCACTATCTGTATATTCTGGCGTTTCGCTTTGCGATATTGCTTCTTTTAGCTCTACTGTTGATCGCAATTTAAATGAATCTTCTGATTTCTCTTCAGATGTGTAAGAATTAGATATAAGTTCACATTTAATGTCATCATCAAAAATAAATATGTCTTCAATTTCTTCCTTGTTTATTTGAGTTGCTATAAATATAATAAGGTTTGCATTTTTTGAGTAGAATTAGTAAATCAAACTTACATATCACATTTGCAGTTGAAGTCTTATTATTAACTTGCTCCTCTGTCATTTCGGAAAATAACGCAGTTGAGCTTATTTCATCATCAGCGGAACAATATAAATTCTTTGTTGTCGTCTTTAAAAATGAATTGTTCAAATTATTATAATAATAAAAACCCAAATCATCTGCAGGCTCCTTATAACCTCTTACAGCTTCAATTATCGGAGTAATGAAGTTTTGTAAAAAACATTGCAAACCGAATCGCACAATAAGACGTGACAGAAAACTATGATGATATAATTTCGCTGACTTTTCAGATTTGAAAGAACTTATTGCTAAACTGTGTTGATGATCAGTTTCTGTTGCCGCAGATAGCCTCTCTCGTTCCATACTCGTAACATCATAAAGTTTCAAAATAGGTGATAAAAGAAACTTTTGGGTGTTAGCAATTCCGAGAGCTTGTGCTATAGGATCAAAGAGATTCCATGCAGTTAGTATTGATGTATTTTCGGCAGTGAGAAGATCAATAATATAAGGCAGTAATATTTCCACAGGCGAAAATTGTTCATATCCGCCTGGCTCCAGTAAAACACTTATAAAAGTACAACAAGACATAATTTTGCATTCAGCTATTTTTTGTTCGAAGTCTAACCGCTTGCGATTGAGATCAGAATATTTGCTGCAATCTTCACCATTGCAATTAAAATGAGTAATAAGGTTTAATAAAGTTTCGCTCAAATCAAACGCTCGTAAGCTTCGTAGAAGCGCGTAAATTGTGCTGTAGACTTTTGGAAATGGTAGTATTAAATTGGAAAAAATTGGCTCTATTATTTGAGTTGAACCTAGAGGCGGAAGACCATTATAGGAAACTTGATTTGATGAGCGCACTTGCAATAAAACTTGCACAATGTACCGCAAGCATTTTGGAATTTCTTGTTTGTAAAGTGCAGCGACAGTTCTACAAGCGGACAACCTTTCCGAAAAATTAGAATTCAAACTATTAGTGAGATATGGACGTAATCTCTGTATGGCAAAAACCTCTACAATAATACAACCAATTACCTGCAACTCACGTTCTCTTTTTTCAGAAATAATAGTTTTGAGTATATGCTTCTTCAAATAACTCGAAGAAGGCATTGAGATGTTTTGAGAATTCATTTCATGTTGTAATACTGTTCTTTTGATTTCGAAATTAGGACAAGTGGCAAAAAATGGGTTAGTGAACGAGTGTCCTTTTGAGTTTAAGTCGAAGAAAACGTCGTTTACTGTTGCATTTTTATTTTCATTTGAGATCAGTTTTTGTCCGGAGAATGTGCGTGTGAAGAAACTCTGTGTTGTTTCTAAGTTTTGCATTAACGCACAAGGTGTATAGTCAGCAGGTAATTCAATGAAATTAATTGGTTGATAAAAACTAGATCCAGGTTGGTCGTCATTTATAAGTGTTTTTTGCAAATGTAGACGTGGTGAATATGTGATTGTGTTACGACTAACTGAACTGCTGGAGTACATATGATAGTCAATGGGTGAATCATCCGCCGCAAATAGATTTTCAGTACTTCTAGCTAAACGTTTAATTGACTCCTTTTTATGAAGTTTACTTTTACTGCTCGCACCAAATGCACTGTTTGAATTATGTAAATAACTTAAACGTGGAACGAGTTTAGTGAACCAAAGTGATGGAAAACGTTTAGCTGGATGAGGATGCGTGAAGAGCTGTACTATGCCACGCTGGCATAGATTTTTATGTTGATCAACCAAACTGAGGCACACATTTTTCGATCTTATAGCGGCCTTACCAGTCAGCTTATAACTAAAATAAAATCAAACGTAATTTCTTTTTTATAAATATTCAAACTAATAAGCTAATGAAATATTAATTACAATATAATAGTATTTAAAAATATAATACACATAATAATAATAATAATAATAATAATAATAATAATAATAATAATAATAATAATAATAATAATACGAATAAAATTATCCCTCTCTTCTTAAATATATCGACACGTTTTGCAATGGAACTAACATCAGTGAAATCGAATATAAACGTGAATTTACAGTCCCCCTATCCTACCTAGTATCCTATTTCAAAGCCAAAGTTGATCCACAACACGGATCTCAGCAGGCTCCCGCCCAACGTCTCCCAGTAATAACGACGTCTCCCTCATGCAGCAAGAATTCTCTTAACTCAATTGAGATCAGGATATAGTCACGCTAAACAGTTACTTGTTACGCATAAACACGTCTATTCCTAATGTGACATAGCCCATCTGTTCTCCTGCCCCTCTAAGCACACAAACCTCCGTCCAGTTGACCTTTGGACCTACCCCTTTGAAATTAGTCAGGTTCCTGTATCTGGACCGTCATTTAACTGTACTCTTGCCGTACTGCACGCACAAACCTGCGTCCAGTCGAACTTTGGCCACACCTGGGTTGCGGTTACAGAATGTTTAACGGAGTGGAAATTTTTGATCTGATTTAAATATTCAATGGCATAAGACAATTCTATATTATAATAAGATTATTCATAAACGACATAAATAAATTCAGAGGTAATAGACTAGCAATAGAAGGGTCAAACACAGGATTTCTGTTGTTATTGATGTTGTAGCCCGCCTAGATCTGCTTGTGTGACCCCTTTGGGAATGTTGATTTCTAACACAGAATTTCTAATGCAGAATTTCTAATACAGAATTTCTAATACATGTTGATATTGCTATAATAAATCATGACATCTGAATTCTACAATTTCTAAGATTTATAAAACTTAAAATTTAGAAATCAACATGAATAAATCTGAAATTGTGATGTATAGACGTTTGGTCCGAAATTTGGTTCTAAAAGGAAAGGCAATACACGAGGTCACGAAATACTGTTATTTAGGAGTCACACTTTGGCACAAGTGATTTGACGCTGAACTAGGACTCGGCAATGCAAAATAAAACGAAAAGTTACTAAAATTAACTAATCCAATTTTAATAGCAAGTGTTAAAGTAATGGTAACTTACATTTTTAACAATACGCAGAACAGAAATATAGCTCATGAGCCACCTTAAAATTTCAAATGATTCGTCTAATAAACAGACTTCACTTATTATTTAATTTCACAAAATAAATTACAAGTTAGCCGTTTTATTGGGAATCTCTTCTATTAAATAACTATTGTTATCATAATAGTATTTTTTTAATATTTAATAGTATTATTATTTTAATAATTTTAATAAAAAAATCATTTAAAGCACAAAATTACTAACTACTAACAAATATTAATCATAAAAACAATAACAATGATAAGCAAAAATTAAATAATACATTTCATACCCAAAATTTAAATCAATCCAATGTTGTAGTCGTTCACTAACATGTTGGGATTCTAAAGCCTCACGATGCTTTATAATAAAATCTTCCGGACACGATGCCCAACCTGGAACTTCTAAATCGGGCAAATCCTCATGAATGCTTTTAAATATCATAGGATCTGTATAAAATTCCGGTATACATTCATCGGGCGTCCACTCTTGTAAGCGTTGAATAGAAACTGGATATTCCGCTGGTACCCAAATCGGACGTACATGCTCGCAAAGCACATTTTGCGGTGTACGACGTGCCATATATACAAAATATGTAATTTCAGAAAGGAAATCTGAAACATGATGAGGTATACTCTATATACACAAACGAGAATTTGATTTAGTTGCTCATAAAGAATTTGAACTACTTACATCAGTCGCATTTTGATTGTTTGCATTTGAGAACATTAAATCCAAATGAATATCACCTTTATTTAGGCGATATTTACTTTTGCTTAGATCGCGCCAATTTAAGCCATTGCGAGCTGCAAAATCTGAAACCCATGGCATAATATGATGATAAGCCGGATTTTTAAGACTTCTTCCCGAAACTTCGTTTAAAATTGTTAGGTAATCAAAATTAGATAGTTGACCATTACACCACATTTCGCAATACTCTCTTAAAGCAAACTGGTTCGATTCACAAAATAATTTTGAATCGATATTTGTACTTAATGTGTTTTCAACATTAACTTTATCATTTATAAATACTTTCGAATCTCCTTTAATATCAGTACAGTAATTAATATCATTCGTTAAGATTTCACTTTGTGAAGATAAACTATGTGTTTCATTGTTTATATTCAATAAGCTTGCTTCTAATTTTGGGAATACTTGTATCCACAACTTATGTGATACAAGTATGTCATGTAAACGCACATCACCTAAAAACAGTCCCTTCGACTGCATATGCTTTAATAGCTCTAATAGCTGATAAATAAGAAAGAGTGATTTGTTTAGCGATTTATTAAGTATAGCTGGACTATAGGTGATACAGTCATATAAACTTGTCATCAATGCAGGAGGATAAAATAAAACACTAATGTGAGTAGATGTTTCTATTGCTACAATAGCTGGCAAAATATTTGGATGATTGTCGACAGTAACACCTATAAAATAAAAAATCGTTATATCATCCATGTTATGTAAAGGATTTATTACCATATTTTTTATTAACATACGAACTGTCAGTGGAAAATTCTTCACCATGTAAGTATCGATCAAGTTTACAATGAATAACTGGGCAATTATATATTCGTTGTATTAAATCTTTTAAAGCAAAATCATACGGTACTAATGTTGAAGTTGGAGTTTTGCCAGGATTCGTTTTTTTACAGAATTTCGTGCGTGCTGCGCTATACTGTATATGTGCCGACTCCCACAAGTTCTTAAAATTTGTATTTGACACATAGGCAACTGCTTGGGAAAACGACAATGGTAAAGTGCCTGCATCGAAGGCGCCAATTGTATCCAAATGTGGCAAAGGAAAAACATTTAAATTTGTATTTTTTTTAAATGTTTGAACAAGAATTCGCGTCCAGGGGTGTTTAAGGGGAACTGGATGAACACGCCTATCTAGCAGCGGATTTACAGGAAACGTAGTTATTTTTCGATATTTTTCCAAATTTTGTAACCATTGTTTATCACATATTAGATTAAAACGCCCAGGAACAACAGTCTCGCATACGTGTTGCGCATCAATTCCAATTTCCGTACATATCACATCCATACTGCAGCAATGGTTTCAATCATTTAATCCAAGTTTATGAGTGAAACTTTCTACGTAAACATATTACATATACTTTGAGTAGGATTATAAAGCATTATTTGATAACACTTACTGCAATTGTTCTCATTTTCATATGCTTATTTATTTCTAATACTATTTTAGTTAGATAAACAAACCAGCTTCTTGATAAATGCCGCGAATACCTTTGCGCCATATTAACATTGTTAATTAAAGAAAACAGCTCAATATTAAAACACCAAAATATTACGAATTCATACTAAATTCCAACTAAATAATTAATATAAAGGACAAATTATGAATTAATCATTTAATAAACTATATAACAACACTTCAAAACAACTGCTGTGTACACTTCAAAACATGCTTGGAAGGTAAGCACATAAACAGAAATTGTATGTTGTTTACACTTTCAAGCATTAATGGATAATTTTGAAATGAAAATTTCAAAGTCAAAATTCATTATTAATATATTTTATCATTATATCAATAAATTTTCATTAATATAACATATTAATATCTTCTTTTATTAAATATTTCAATTAGAAATGACTCCATCTTCTCTTTTCATATATTGTAATAATATTTTAAAACAAACTACATATTTAATAATACACTCACACTCTCTCTTTTAGGCAGTTTTGCTCATTATTGTCACTAATGAGGATAATTTACCATACAAAAATCTTTGATATAAATATGCTCATTATTAACAAATTTGCTCATTTAAGGCGAAAAATGTCGAATGTAACCTATAAATACAAATTTCCCACAAGGAAAAATACCAAAATTTGAAATATTTATCATATGTTTTATATGTAAAATGTGAACAAATAACAACTGAACTGTAAACAAAGACACTGAAGAAGTAGGTATTTAATAAAATCTTTGGTTTTATTAATTGGATATATAATTGATATATGAAATGCATATATTATTAAGTTAAAGCTTATAAAAGTTTATGAAAGTTCTTTCAGCTTCATAATCGAACTTATTATAATGGGAACGTTCAAAATTTATTATAAATGAGCAAGTACTGAAATAAGACAGTGTGAATGTACTATTACTAAATAAGCAGTGAAAACATGCTATCAGCTTCACCAAACAACAACCCAAAAAAAATAGATGATGTATTAAACAAACTAAGAGTACGTGCTCACTGATTACTTAATAAATTTATCTTACTAAATAAATTTCGCTTACCATACAAAGACCCTCTCTACTTTTCAACTGACTTAAAAATAAAGCAAGAAAATCGAACCAAAAATATCGAATGCAACCCTTCAAATTAAATTTCATAAATATCATAAATCAACAAAGTTTGAAATTTTTGTTATATATTTTATATTTAAAATGTAAACAAAGAACACCTGAGCTTTAAATAAATGTACTAAGAAAATAAGCATATAATAAAATCTTTATTATTAATTGAATATGTAATAGATTAATAAGATATACATACAACATATATGTAAATGATTTAATATTTTGTGTAATATATTATTGAGTGAAATTTTTCTAAACAAACAGAAGCAAACAGATAAGAGCTCTTTCCCATGCAACAAGTAATTTATGTCGATGGAAACAACAAAATCTTAAAGTTACTTAAGTAACTTACTAAGCACACAATGGTTACATACTATAAACGTTATGTAATAATGTGGTTTCACTGTATTCGTTAGATCAAGTAACTTGAGGTTGCAAAGTAAATTTCATTAACTATACAAAAAGCTTCCATTCTTTTTAACTTATAGTACATTCATACAGTCTCATTTAGGCATTTGTTTATTTATATTAATGAGCTCATTCCCATTATAATAAACTCATTTATATAGCTGAAAGAATTTATAACTTTTACATACTTTATTTAATAATATATCACACAAAAGAATTAAATATATAAGTGATATATTAAATCATTTATATACATTTTATACTTATTTTCTAATGTCTTTGTTTAGAGCTCAGGTGTTATTTGTTTACACTTTAATATATGACAAATACTTCAAATTTTGGTCATTTCCCTTGTGAGAAATTTATTTTTAAGGGTTATATAGGTTATATGAAACCTCTTTGTATGGCAAATCATCCTTATTAGTGGCTATAATCGCAAAACCGCCTAAAGGAGACAGTGTGAATGTATTGTTACTTGACTGTATAGTAAGCAAAATTAGGAAAAATTTTCCACAAAGGAAATTAACAAAATTTGAAATACTTGCAATATGTGTTACGTGTAAAATATAAACAAACAAAAAATGAACAAGTGAAACAACCAAGAAAAAATTTTTTAAAACACAGTCAAACTTCCATAACTCGAACTTCTATAACTCGAATTTCCTATAACTCGAACCAAAAATAGTGCACTATGGTTACATACAATTCTGCTTTATTAACTCGAACTTCTATAACTTGAATTTCTCTATAACTTGAATAAAAATTTTGCTCTGTGCCGGAGGGAATATGGGAAAGTGCATTCTATAAGTCGAATTTTTGTTTTAAGAATAAATGCATTTTGGTGTTAGGGGAAGTCCCTTTTTCCAAACCAATTGTTTAGTTTTTCTTTTTATTTTGCTTCTTTGTTCAAAAGCCAGTTGATATCAGCGTGCTTTAAAGTAAATAAAACAACTTCCGATGCTACTCTTAATGACTATATTGAACTTGACAATGAAATTTATACATCAAGCTCTCCTACAGATGACGATATTATTGAGCACTATAGCTCTAAATTACTGGAACCATTTCTAAGCGCAACGGAAACTGATGATGAGGTTTCGGTGGATATAATTGTGCATCAGCCTTCCAAGAATGAAATAGAAGACTCATTTAAAATTCAGAATTTATATTTGCATCCAATGATGTTACAACTGATGATCACTATAAGAGTATGAATAAAGTGGAATCTCTTTTTACTGAAAATACGAAAAAAATTAAAGTTTCAATCCCTAACTTTACTATAACTTCTGTGCTTTATTTGATTGCAAATAAATAAATATCTGAAAATGTAATTCGAGTTTCTTTCAAAAATAAAACAAAAATTAAAAAATTTTCTAACTCGAAGTCTCCATAATTCCTTTGCTTTGCAAAATTGGACTTCGAGTTATGGAAGTTTGACTGTATTTGTGTTTTAAGTTTTTTGATTTTCATCGAACTGAGGTCATTTATTTAACATGTAGAATAATTTATTTTAATGAATTTTAATATTTTAAATAACTATATTGTATAAGTGTAGTTATTTTTATTATTTTATGTGTTAAATATAGTAAACGACTTAATCCCGGCGAAAGCCAAAAACCATATAATATTTGCGTTTTATAAATAAAACATATAATTGATATACAAAAATGTATATAAAAATATATTTAAATGTTTTTTAATTAATTTGTTTTTGTATTTATTTTATTTGTTACTTTTAATCACTTTAATTTACATTCGAAATTTTTCATATTAAATGAGTTGATTTATTGATAATGAGCTTATTTATATGAAAGCACTTTGTATGGTAAATTATCCTCATTAATGGCTATAATGAGCGAAACCTCCTAAATGAAACAGTGTGAATAAGCTATTTATCAGATTTCATTAGCGACCTAAAACAAACTGTTTTAAAAAAGACAAGGGGCACATACGATTACGTAAAATAAGTTACAGTGTAAATATGCTAATATGATACACGAGTACATCGCACATTACATTCCGCATTGATTGTGTTTTACGAATTTGAAATTAGAGTTAGCAAGCAGCACAAACGTATTAATTTATGAAAAACAGCATATTAATGGTACAAAACTAAAAATATGTCGAGAAAAGCACAACTGTTACAAATATTACAATTATTATTTTATTCTTTTGCATGTTCGGATTAAACTTGTGTTGTTTGTTTTTTATATTGTTTTGTACTTTTTAAGTTATTGTAAGAGCTAATCATTTTTAGTGATTTTAACTTGCACGTTTTCTTCATTATTTATATCTACTATTATATGCATTAAACTAAGTTAGCCATAAAATATGAAACTGCCATGTATGATGAAACTGCATAATACCATGTTCACAGTGTACATTTATCATCAATTTTTGCAAAAATTACTTGAAGTATTAACAGTAAAAACCATTGAATTATATATATTGATATATATATTTTTCAAATTTAATTAATATTAATATTCAAATATTAATTAATATTGAATCACGAGAAAATATATATTTTATTACTGCTACATTATGCTTAAAATTTAATATTAGTTTTTATTTCAAATTTCACATTTGCGGCTTTATTTAAAAACATCAAAATTTATTCAAAAGTAAATCAGTTCATGTGAAAAAATATGTTAAATGTCATAACATAAATATAGTAGTAGTCAAATATTTAAAGTTTTGTATCAAATACGGCAGTTAATATAATTTTACATAATGTTTACATATAAAATTATTGATCATAAATTAAAGATATTCGTGTAAATTATATAAAGTACGCCTCTTTTAGCGTACTAAATTGTAATGTTTCAAAGCTTCATTCTCCTAATGTAAACGATATGTACATACATTATCGTGCTGATATTTTGAACATTTTTGTGACATATGGGAGTTATTGCTAAAATTCGTTAATGAATATCTTATGAGTAATGGGGCAACCATTGTATCTTCATTATATAACGATACACTTAAAATGTCAATAATGTAAATATTGTAGGAATTAATTTAAAACTTTTTATATAGTATATACTGATAAAGTACAATATTTTATATATACAATAAACGTAATGATATAATACGTAATAATATATGCAATATATTATATGCGAAAATAGATTATGCTGGAGTATACATATTCTCTGGAACAATTTTGTATGTCAATTAGTCTAAGTACTTAATATTTGTAGAAGCCTTCAGAATGTTCTTTGCATTGGTATTAAAATTTTATGCTGTCAACAGAGTTGCATTTCAAATATTTTCTTCTTTTTCACATTATACAGACAAGTAATTTAAAATTTCTATTGAGATGTGTATTTTTATTATCATTTTAATTATGTTTGTAGCGATATTTTTTTTAAATTAATCACATTTTGAAAAGTTTAAATACATAAAATTATATTGAATGATATGCCAGCAGCATATACTTTATTATCCGCCGTCTGATTGTAGTATGGCTGGTCTCATTGCACAGATTTTTAAATTATAAGTGTTGTATTTCAGTTAAAAATCAAAGCAATAAAACATTTATTTCTTTTTGTTTATATATTTGTTTGACTGAATTAAATTGTATTTTTTATTATACAAATTGAATTTAAATTTAATATTATGATATAATAAATATACGTATCAATGATATCCTCATTAGAGTATTATTGTAAATAATAAAATTTATTTGTTATATTTATTGAATATGTATATACGGAGCAGATATTTATATATGACTTTAGTAGTTATATACTCTTAGAACTCCTAAAATTTTATGACAATATATTATAAGGGCATAATTATCATTACGTAAACCAATAGTTAACAAATTCATTAAACAATTTTTAAATATTAAAATATTATTTTTAACGTTTTTTAAACAAATTTAATTTCAATAATAAAATTTATTTTTATTAAAATATTAGTCTGTATTAAAAATTGCATATAATTCACAATAACAAATTGATAAAGCAGTTTGTTTGACAGCAATTTTTACAAATAATTTTTCGACATCTTGTGTAGTGTTATCCCTCTTGCACTTCATGAAATATAAGTGAACTTTGAGGTAAAAGTGACAATATGAAGCAATCCATTGCAATAATATGTCCATGCTTGTCACTCCAATGTAAATTGTACTATCATCTATTGTACTCATGCACACGATGAAGAAACGAATGAATTGTGTGCTGGTCGTGCAGAAGAAGTTAAATGCAAATGGCGGTTGTTATTGTTCGTGGTGGAAAATTTTTAATAATGCAATTTTGTTTTAAAAAAGGCATAAAAACGTAAATCTACTTAAATGTTTTGAGGAATCATGCTAGTTGTTATGAATAATCAAATGATTATATTAATAGTGAAAACAGTTAAGTTCAATATGATCATAAATTTATTAAATTTGATTCGTTTACTCTAGTGTGATTGTGTGGTAAAAGTCGATGAAAAAAATTTTTATTGGGACTGTAGAGCCATTAGTCCTTATGTTAAAATTATGGAAACTGTTATTAATATTATGACTTTTATATATTAAAAACTTGAACTGATTTGTAATGAATGGATTTGGTGGTCTTAAATCCCATATTAATTCCGTGAGTGTATAGTTCTACTTATATTCGTGGCTGTTACTCGGCGCCATTGATCCCTTCCGTGTGAAAAAAGAACAATTTCCAAATGAATTAAACCATATAAATTTGGAGACAACATGGATTAATCAAGCCAAGTGAAAAAGTGTATATATCACTTTTAATATTGATGAAGTTAAATATTTAGTATACTTTTATGTATATAGAAGTTATACAATATAAAACTATATAAATAAATATTATGTTAAACAATACGGATGCCGCATAATTATTTCTGCTATAGGTGTTGTGTGTTCTCATTTAAAGGATGAGTGCATAAAGTATTTAATATAAGAAATTAATATGAGAAAAATACGTAATTAATGAAATTCTATAAAAATTATTAAATATATTATTAACAAAGCGTTGCCATACTAAACCAAAAAATAAACAAAACTAATATATAAAATGTGACTTATTTGTCAATTAAAATCAAGAAAAGTACTTAAAGTGCGAAAAAATGCAAAGACAGCTGTTCTTTAAGAATCAACTTTAAAATTAGAGTTGTATTCCCTTTATTATATAAAATTTAATGTTTATACTGAAAAAGAACAACCACACCGTTCATTAAAACTGTCAGAAATAAATGTTAAATACTTGCATAAGTTTACTAATTAAACCTCCGTCTCTTGTTGTGTGATGATATGCAAGTTAATCAGGTGAGAGTCTTAATCACATTAGTTGATTTTTTATTGCATGATATCAATAACTATTAGTTAAACATATAATAAACAAAAAATAGTTAATTATGTTATATATAATTCTAAATTTAATTGACATGTATTAACTTATTTTAATTTATTCTTTACGATTTAAGTGACACGAATGGGTCAATTCATAATAACTTATATGCACGGGATAATTGATTTTTTTTTTAATCCTGTAACATTTTTACTTGCTAAATTTTTATTTTTTAACTCTAAAGTCGTTCTTCTTACTTTACATATGTTGTGGGACAGAAAATTTGTTACGACTAACAGCTGTTTGATGTACTTTAATATACGAAAAAAGAAAAGGGATTACCTTACCAATAAGTTATTTCTTCTCCTATATAAAGACGATCATTTAAATATCAGCTACCATTCTAGATTTTGTTAAATATGCTTTAGAAGATTTATTGTTTTAAAATCATCATTTATCTTAACTTCCCAATTGTTTACAATTACATTCTTAAAGTCTTGCAATTAACTTAAGGGATTATTTTGCATCACGTGTAAACAGATTGTAAGCTCGTAAAATTTAATTAAATTTTGCTCGCTTGACAATAAGCAAATATTTAATAATTGTAAAAACACATTTAAATTTTTATTTTTAAATTACATTTTTTTTTATTAATAATAAAATATAAAAATAATAGTTTTAGCAACTGTTTTTTTAAATTAATTGCAATATATGAAATACATTACTCCCATCAGCAGTTGTAAGTAAAGAATTTTTGATATAAGATATTTCTTAATTATTTTTGTAAAGAGGTTTTTTCGAACAGTAGTGACTACAACAACAAAAATTCATATTTATATTATTTTAATTAATTAAAATTTTGGCTGACCATAGAGCTGTTTCGAGTATTACCAAATACTTATCATCAGTGGTCTGGGAAATATTTCTTGTATTTAATTATTCGTAAATAATTATTAATTATTTTTGTTTGAAAATTAATATTATTTGAAATAAATTTTTCGTTTTAAAAGGCATTTATTTAGTAGAGGTTTTTATGTAAACATGATACAACAATGTTTAGGAAACGTTTTTGTGGACTTAAAAATGCTTACCGATTTCTGTTATAAATACCCACAAACCCATATCCAATTTTTTGAGTAAAAAAATAAAATATTAATAAGAAATGTAATATATTCACATTTACATTAATTTATTGTTGTATGTAACATCTTTTTGGCTAACATTGAAGTAAGTAAATAATACTTTCTCATTTAAATACTCCATAAATGACTTAAGACAGTTTTAAAGCTTGATTCAAAACAAGTAAGCACAGATAAGTGCGGGTTATATGCTTATATCTTTGAATCAAGATGCTACTTATAGAAAGTAGATATTTCGTTATTTGTTTCAACTATGTGTCTACCAACACATTGTATTACTCCCTTTTATTTGGTCAGTGAAAAGTCTGAACTGAACAAATCAATGAAATATACATCAAATAATCCATTTGAAATTAATAAGTTTCAATAGTAGTTGCAACTGTATAGTTATAGCTTAGTAGGTACTTATTAGTATTTTCTCTATGGTTTTTTCTTTATAGTTTTTTATATTTTTGAACGAGTTTACTGGTGTATTATTTTAATAATATACAACTTTTTATAAATTATAAAATAATAAATTTTAAAATAGATTTAAGTTAAAATTATTTCCGTCTGAAAAATTGACCTTAAATTATTTCTTATATTCACAAAATATTAGTCTCGCCCGTGCGAATCATGAAGTAATATTAGTATGACGATCTCAGGATTGCGTTCCTAGATTAGGTTCTATACATAAGAAGGAATATATAAATCATGCAAAAACAAATAATACCTCTACAAACAGAATAGTATTTAAATTTAACAATTAAAAATAAAAATATGATTAATTAATTTAATTATTCTACACCTGGTTTATGATTTCGTTCTAATGTAAACGCAGCAAGTGAATTTGTTAATAAAACTTTCACAGGAAAATAAGAAAACTCCAAAAAAATGTTCGAATATAAAAGTCAAGTACGGCTTTGGGTCAGTTGATTAAGGTGCGCTGACTCTGAGCTTCAATTTTGGCAGGACAGGAGTTCGATTCCTGATACTTGCAGTCTCAAAAAATTATATACGAATAATTAAATACAAAAAATATTTCCCAGACCACTGATGATAAGTATTTGGCAATACTCGAAACAGCTGTATGGTCAGCCAAAAATTTAATTAATTAAAATAATATAAAAATGAATTTTTGTTGTTGTAGTTCATTACTTTTCTAAAAAAACCTCTTTATTAAAATTATTTCTTAAAATGTTGACTTCACATTCTTAGCACAATATATAAAAATTGTTATCTAATATAGTATATAATATATACACCGGAAATCCTATCAGAAATATATATTCTATAATCTGTACTGCATTTGGCCGCGTGTTTAGGAATAAAACATAGCTGCTCTAAAAACAGTTAGGAGTGGGATAAAAAGGAAGTTACAGTTTGATGACATGTAAGTTTTAAATTGTGATAAGGAGAGAGAGCATTCATCTAAAATACATTTAATTTTTATTTATTGTTACAATAAATTCTTGATTTTGGACAGTTTTATAGGAATTAAATTGCAAATAGCTCTTAACTTTGCTATTCTTCTAGTTTGGGCTATGTTGGTTTCTAGACAGTATTTTGTCATTTCTGGTATGCAAACTGTTTCTAAAATATTTTAAAACAATAAAATTACATATTATTTTAATAATGATAAAAAAAAAGCACGGGTAGAAAAATGAAAAACAGAGAGAAAATAAGAGGAAGAGAAAAAGAAAAATACGGGCATTACTAATGGAGCCTATTATGACCAACCTGTTACTAGTTGTATGTCCAAAATATGTATGCGTTTATCGCCAGAATCTGTTCAATTATTTGCATGTTTTTTAATTTAATTATTATTTTTATATTATAAGATTTTATTTACTAACAATCAAGTATTATATTTTTATAAAATAAATAAATTCTTATTGATAATTTATTTTAGTTACGCCTGTACATGATCGTAACTACGCCTATTATGTGAAAATTTATTGAAATTTAATGAATTTATCTATTTTAATGGGGTGTGGAAAAATTTGAAGGAGCTTGATATTTATATAATTTTTTTTTGATATTTAGAAATTTATTATTCCTAAGACCATGTTAAACATACAGTTATCTGTTATATAGCGAAAGTCACGACAATGGTACGCTTTTTTTTTGGTCATAACCTAAAGGCATGTTATGCAGAGAGTCATATCAAAATTGTGAAATTTTTTACTTTTACTACCATTTTGGAACGATTTTTTGTGTTTAAATTTAAAAGATATTACTGACATTTATATATTTACTGACATTTATACATTTACTGACATAACTAACGAGAGGAGGTACAGAAACTCTCGTCACCGTGACCAAAGTTAAACCGATCTTTCTCTCGTTCTCAATTTTTTATTTACATTAAGAACAACCACAATTTTAGATTTGACGTGACCATGACTCTTTGTATAACATGGCCCTAAAGCTTTTTTTCGTAATTTGATAGTTTCACTCAAGAGAACTAGAACGCCAAGAAAAAGTCAACTTTTTGCATAAAAATAAATTCGATTTTTTTTTTAAACTTTTTTTTATTATTGTAAACCATAAATTTTAGCTCCATATAATTCCCACTAAATTAACTCTGAATAAAAAAAGAGCATTTTTCTGAGTTCTACTTATATCCGTAGCTGTTATTCACTACCATTGATCCTCTCCGTGGGATCAATTCGCAATGAATAAAACCATTTTTCTTACTTAAAATACTCTGAAATTTAATTAATTTTTTTTTTCTTTTTGCTTTTTGTATTGTAAACTATAAATTTCAGCTCCGTCCAATTCCCACTAAATCAATTTTAATAAAGAGCAATTTTCATATTCCAAAGCAAACTCGGAAATTTTAAATTCCAGCTCCGTGAAATTACCATTATAATAAAATGTTCTTCCTAATTGAATATTTATTAGATATTCAAAGAGGTCTTTATCCAAAACATACCTACTCATAAAAATAAATGAGCGTGCATTTGAATCACGCGTTAAAAAACATTTTGGCATTATAAAGTTCAATTTTACTAACCTATTACAATTTACATATATTTTTATGTAAAACGATGCATATAGTTAGACTCTGCTTTGTTAATCTGGATTCTAATAGTTATATAAGAGTCGTATGTAGGAATGGTTTCATCATTTAATATGCCAAATACTAGTCTGTTAAACTCGATTGTTCAAGACACAAGTTAGATATTATATATATAAGGTTTTATATGCCTCAAATAGATATAAAATAATTAAAGTATTGTGTAAATTTATAAGTGAGTACTGGTACAGAAAAAAATAATTGAAGTTTCAGTTATTAAATTTATTTAAATTACAGAATCAACGTTAATTTTGTCATGCAACTTTTGTTCAGAGTCTAAAAGAAATATAAGTGTTTATATTCTGTGTTATATTAAATTTGAAGAAGAGAAGAAGAAGAGAATAAAAACTGTTTTATTTACCAACATATTTTCTTCTGCGCTAATAATATGTAATATTGATAAACAAAGACACATATATAATAATAACAGTCTTATTACCTAGAGAATTTTGTCTCTGACGATGAGGATTTAATGTCGCTAAATCAAAGAAAACCAACCTCTTCACTATGAGCACGCATTTTTTATTTATTTTAAAGTAGTGGATATCGATAATGAAATAAATATAACAAATATACATTGGACATAATATTTATTGCATTAGCTTATATGCATTTAAAAACTGTGTAAATAAATAATATTTATATTAAATTATTTTATGATAAGTAAAATGTCAAATTTAGTGAAGCGGTATTCTAATATACCCAAAGTATACTGTATTCATGTTTTTTTTTATATTTTTATCATATTTTCTTTAAATTTCTTTAAATGTGTTAAGAGAATACACATAATCTATAACATTAAATATTGCTATATTAAAGATAAGTATTAGACACATGCGAGAAAATTTCATAACCGCCGTAAGTGTCATGCGCACAGACACCTCAACTCTGCTACTTATTTACAATTGCCGAAAAATTGGAGTGGTGCGCTCAGAAATCGCACTTGTGTTTTCTTTTTAATTTATATTTAAAGATGTCTTCAAATATAGATAATACAAATACAGTCTAGCATAGAAAGTCTTTTTGGTCGCTTTCTAATGCCAGACTATATTATTACTACTGCCGATGCGTGCGCGTAAATTAGGGTGATTTTTAAAAAGGTTGCTTTTATGCAAATAGTAGTGTATCTTTCGTTCAGTGGTGTGGGCCATAGGAATGAGTTAGAGAGGCTTTCACTTGCCACAATTTACGCATTCGAATTCGTGTCTTTTCATATAATATCTGTAGGAGATATTGCAGTTAAATCTGTTAGATCAGCATTATCCTACCCATTGCTTTTACTAAATGGCGGTGACCTTAATCACAATCAGTATTTATTTCGCTGGACTCGTCAACGTTAGTAATTGAAATTCGAGTCGTTTTTAGGTTTTTAATTGATAACTGATTTTATTGTGACATACTACGCAAAACTAAAATTTTCGAGAGGGGATTTGCTGTACATATTATTGTGTCCTGAATTGATAGCTGATTTTATTATGACACAATACTCGAACTTAAAGTTTGGGGACGCACTCTGCGAAAACTAAAGCTGGCAGCAGAACACATTTCCAAAAAAAAAAACCATAAGTCACTAAGTGCAAAATTCATCTCTCAAGTGCAGATATAATATATTATAAAAGGTTAGCATTTGATTGCATACGATAAAACAAATCATTTAAATAGTTAACTAAATACTAAATACTACTTAAATACTTCTAAAAAAAAAAAAACCAAACATTGCTGACAAATACTTGATAGCTATAGTTTGGAATTTTCAAGGAATTAAGATCTTGTATATTACACATATACTATCCAACTATCCAAAGACGTATTTGCATTCGAACATAAAAATCTTGCCCAAGACTTGCCAGTGTAAACGCTCAGTTAACTTAGCTTAAGAGTTTAAGATAGAGTGACAAAATCTTGTCAAAATCTAGGCAGTGTAAATACTGGGTAACCAGTTTTACGAATATTGCGTTGCTATAGCAACACCTCTAGATGTCAACAAAAAAGAAATATTTTAAAATACACACTGAGTCGTAAACAAATTAAAAAGCGCGCAAATTTTACAAAAACAAATAAAATTGTTTTTTATTTATGGTTAAAGTAATTTAATAAATAATGTTTAGATAAATATTAAACTAATTATTACGTCTGAACTGTCGGTACAAAAATTTTGGACGCTGTCTTCGTCCACAATTTCCTTTCCTTTCATTTGCAAATTCATTTTTTCGAAAAAATAAAAGCCTGTAATTTCAGATGAAATTTTATAAGTACATCATCAAAAGATTTTCTTTTCATGATCGCATTGACGACGTGGAGCTATTCATCTGCATAGACGACTAAATTTCGCTCATCTCTACTACTGGTATTTCTTTTCGGGTTTCGACAGCAACAACAACTATAGATGATTTGACTTAAAATATCTATTTTGAAAAGATCATTTTTTTTTCTCTAAAAATCTTTTTCTCTAAAGGCTTAAGTGTTTAGTGGAATCGATTAGAAATGAGTAATACAAGTTTTATATAGTTTTCTCTAATTATCATTAAATCAAAATGGACTTATTATTTAAGAATGGTGGATTTTTGATCGAATTTTATATTATTTTTTTAAAACATATCTAATTTTTTAATCCAGTTTATTAATTTTTTATATTGTTTTTTTATTTATCATAAAAATATTTTTTTATTATTGTGTTGGAATCTTTTGGTATTATAAATAGAAAATGTTAATTAGTTTCGTTATTTGATTCTTTAATGAATTGTTATTTTACTTATTATGAAAATGTAATCGTTTTAATGTGTATTCTCTATTTCAGCAGACTGAACCGTGTGTACGGATAGCATTTCAACTCCCAGATGATGCGGTGGACATATTACGCCAATTGGCTTCCGAGAACCATGCGGCTTTAGATGCCCTCGGAATATTAAAAGTAGAGGTAGAAGGGGAATCTGTGATATCGGTTAAAATATCCGAACAATTTTATGAAATCAGAACAGGTAATTTACTAATTAATTACAGCAATTTCATAAATAGTGTGTTACCAAATTTAAAAACTTACTAAAAATTGAAAATTCAATCTATATTATTTTTATTTAATTTTTTTGTAAATGCACAAAGTGAATTATTTATCCGTATCCCAACTCTTTCCAACTCACACAGAATTTATAATATATAATTTATTCCCCTCCCACGCTAGCAATACCTATCCACATCCTAACTCATGTATCTATCTTGTAATCCCTTTAATGTAAGCTACTTTATAGATCCTTTTAAGCTACAAAATTATTGTGCAGCTTTGAAATAAAAATAGGCAAGTACAAAGATAACTTTCAATTCGTTGAACTTATGTTTCCAAAAAAAGCTGTAATTTATAAACTCGTTCTAATTTAAAAAGCATGGCAAGTGCTTTGGTTAGTGATAAAGTAGTCTTGGGTATTTGTGGAAAAACACGTTAAGTCATCTTTTTTAATTTCTCAGGCACAAGTTCTAAGCCTGGTACTTGCAGTTCAACAATTTTTATGTAAACTATAAACTAATTAAATAAAAATTCAAATATATCCTACCATCACTGATGATAACTACTTGACAATACTCGAAATATCGTGGTATGGTTAGATAAATTTTCAATAAATTGAGCAAATTTATTTTGTTGCTTCTTCATTACTGTTCGAACCCTTCTAGTTTCTTTTTGTCATAAATCGCGTGACATTCGACAAAAAGAATCAACATTAACAACAATTATTATTTTAGGAAACCAGAAAATAAAAAAAGTTTAAAAATCATTTTTATTACTGTACGATTTGATTTTGCAGATTATAACAAAAATTATTTTACATGTGCAAAAATTGCACAATATAAAAAACAATCGAAATATTCCGAAATAAATTAGCTCCTGTATGTCAGGTTTAGTTGACAATATATATGTATTATCAAAAACTACAGTAAGTACTAAATAGTTAGAAAAGGTGCCAAGAACGACCAACTTCCGTTCGCCACACTCAAAAGGCGAACAGATCCTTACGCGTTACAGCAACAAAAATAATTATGAAGTTATTAACCCTTTTATTGCAAAATAAATGACATTCAATTACATATTAGTGATAAATGTATATAAAAATAATAATAATATTAACTTATTATATTAATTACTTTCAGATAATGTTGAAACTGAGGTGGCTGGAACCTCCTCCAATAATGTTTCTTCTAATAAAAGGGAGCATTTGAGTGATTTATCGCAGATATTAACTGGAAATAATAATTCACTCACATGTTTTCCGGAAAGTTCCAGTATCAACTCATTTTTGACCCAGCAGAGACTTACGATGGTGCCAAATGCTGAAATTGGAACAAATGATGCTTTATCATCTCCGCAACAGCAACAGCAAATGATCCAGCAAAAAAGAAATTTACTTTTAGGAGGGCCAAGTACTAGCAGTGCAGCACAGGCAACTTTGCTGCAAAAACGGCAACAGCAATTGCAAGAACTTGGCTTAAATGCTGGTACAGTTCCAACTGTGTTTAAATCGCCAAATACCGTCTGTCCAATGGATGGAAAAGTACCGGTTCCTCTTTTACAATTAAACTCAAATACAAACGTAAATGTGCGTGATTTTCCTTTTGAAAGTATGAGACAGGCACGAGTCTTACAGGGTCGTGAAAGTGCATTAAATTCGGGAACTTCGAATTCAAGTACAACATTACCACCAGGGACAACATCCATTATGCAAACTCCACAAGCACTGCAACAACAGTTGATTAATAATATAGTACATCCGCCCAATGTAGCATTAAAAGTAATCAAGAATCCTCAGGGTGGAGAAATTTTATCAACATCTGTTTCACCAACAAGTAGTAAATCTCAATTTTTACAACCTCCCCCACCGCCTTATCCTGGTGTTGCTGATACCTCATCTGTTCCCTTACATCCGAACAAGCCAGCCCAAAATTTTTCACAATTAAACACATCCGCTTCTGTTCCAGTTACGCAAACAGAAAGTGTATGCACAAACAATATTACTTCATCACCACTACTTGTAAATTTGTTGCAAAATGATGGTAACGCATCTGCGAATCAAGTTAAACAAATTGCTTCATCGCAACAACTTATACAATTAAACAAATTACCATTAACAAGTATTAACTCGAAATCAGTAAATTTCCAACAACAGCAACAGCAACAGCAGTCACAAATTTTAAATCCGTCGATGCGTTCACCAAATACAAATGAGTTTCTAATAACTCAACAATTAACACAGGCAGACAAAATATTAAGTCCAACTCCACCATCAATGAACGTGGCTTCATCACCCCCAGTTAATACAAAAGCGCGAAACATTTTGCAACAACCAGTCATGCCTACGACGAATAATAGTTTGTATGCCCAACAACAACAGCGATATCAACAACAAAGTTCGCCTCAAGAGACAGCCTTGTTACAACAACAAGTGCAGAGGCAGAACCATGTACAGGTAACCGCTATACCACAGCAGCGTTATATACAGCGACAACAGTATCAGCAACAAATATCACAACCACCAAGTGGTGTTAATTCTATGCTAAATGCTCAGCAAACACAACAACAGGTGAGATCAGTCAGACCTGGACTATTCGTGCAACAACAGCAGCAGCGTCAACAAAGATTAATGGGAAATACACAGAAACCACAACAACAACAGCAGCAACAACAACAGCAGCGAACACAACATTTTATAGCTACAGAAGGAACAGCACAAGTAACAGCACACTCACCATCTTCCAGTCATCATTCAATGCACAGTCCTTTAATGTCTACACACCAGCAACTGCTATCTCCATCAACAACGCCTTCACAATCCCCACATTCTCATCAGCAACAGCAGCAAATGCAATTACAACAACAGCAACAGCACTTACCAGCAACTTCATTAAATGCGTCTCCATTAATAGGTGCTTGTTCAAATAACTCACACAACACCTTTCTTCCACCTCCTGAATATAATCAGGCTGCTTCGCCGCGGTGGTCGGCACTAAAGCCAATGGACTCTGTTACTAAAAGCAGTTTTCAAGAATTTACACGCTATCAAATGCAATATAATTTACAGCAACAGAAGATAAGTAATAAACAAATTCAGGATCAAAATCCAAATATCTATCAACAGCAGCCTGTAAATGAAGACACAAAATCGTTGCTTAATAATAACGAGTCAGCGTCATCATCATTAATAGAGAATGCAAATGCAAGTAGTACGACAGATCCTTTAATAACATTATCCGATTTGGATGCATTAACTACAAATGATTTAGAAGCCCTATTACCTACATTAGGCTGCGACTTAGATTCAAATCTTAGTCTAGAAGATAAAAACGAACTTGAATCATTATTGCAAGATGCCAAAGATTTGGATTTGGATCTTATAGAAGAGAATCTTTCGGCTGTGGGCGTAGATCTAGACGACACAACTGCGGCGGCAACATCAATTCTTGAAACAGATGCAGTACTAGCACCAAATGTTTCCCTAAATATGAACACTACAAATATGAGACAACACATCGCTCAGCAACTATTGCAGCAACCATCTGTTAATAATCCGAGTTTACAACAGCTTGAAATTTCACAACAAATACAACAGCAAATAGCACAAGTTGCATTGCTACGTCAACAGCAACAGCCAAATCTAACCATGAAGTTTCAAAATCAGTTGTCCCAAACGCAAATACCGCAACAGCAATCAGAACAAATCACTGAGAATAAACCTCCAATATTAAATACACAACAACGTAATACAGTGCAACAACAAATTCATATGCGAAACAACAATTCGGTTAATAATTGCATTATACACACAACATCTACATCATCTTCTCAAAAGCAGTTTTTAATAAATCCTTTGACGGGTGAATTGGAGCCTAGCCCGAGTGATGATAGCGAAACTGAGGGTGAGCAAGAAACTGCACAACATAAAACCTTATCATCATTAACATCAATATCATCAGCACCTATTGCCAACTTTGATCACATAAACGAAATTCCTTCCAACACCGTATATTCAGAAGATTCTAACTCTTGCAGCACAGCATCTAAGATATCAACAGTTGAACAGAATTATGGAATTTGTTTAGGCCTAAGCAGTGATACAGATCGTTCTCACGATTCAATTATTTCAAATAAATCAAGTCGCAGTAGTAAGGCCACTAACCAAATGTGTAATAAAATGGGTGTTAATCTGGGCGTAGGGGGTAACATAAGTCTGGGTGCAAATTATGTTAATGATGCTTCTCCTCGATCTACGAATAGTTCACCATTGACAATAACTTGCATGCAAAGAAATATATACAATAAAAAAGCTAAACCAAATTTTTTACGTAATAAGCTGCAACATGGAACCAAGGAAAAAAAAAAAGAAAGTTCATGTTCATCAAAATTAAAGCGGGAAAAAGCTAAGGTTATTAAATCGAAATTAGCAAATGATACTACTATGAATTCCACAACATGTGTTTCATCCGAAATATCTATTTCCGAAGCGTTACCAGCTAATGAGAAAATAAAGCTGCGACTTAAATTAGAGAAATCGGAACCTGTCTCACCCGCCTATAAGGTGGATGTTTCATTCGTTCAGTCACCAAAGTCATCGGAAGTATCAATGTCAATGAACATGGGCGCTGATATTGGAAAACTAAATCCACATCAATATAAAAATAACACACAATTTCTACAAACAAATGCAATTCAACAACAAATACAGCAGCAAAATATAACAAATGCAACCCAACAACAAATTGGTCAAGCTCATGAAGCCCATCAACAACAAGAGCAACAACATACTTTGCGAAATTTCGCTGCACCTCAAGTTAATAAAGCTACAAATAATATATCATCGGGGGTGGAGGAACCTCGGGTTCCACCTCTGCACATAAGTTTGCGTGGTGGTAAAAACTCAATAGTTATAAAAAGTAATAGAAAAGATCGGAAGAAAGAGAATTCAATTAACTGTGATGGTGATGAAGATGATATAAAAAGTAAATTGTTACGACGTGAAGTCACAATGACAAATGATGAACAACAGCAGGTACAGAAACAACATCAGCAACAGCAACAACAACAGCAAATGCAATTAACGCAAACAGAAAGTGTAAATTCTGCTAAACTTAAGAAGTTATTCCCACTGTGTAATGGTAGTATTACATTAGAAACAACGACTGGTAATGATATAAATTTTAATGTACACACTAAGAACATTGTTGGTACCGCAGCTTCAACTACTAGTTCGGCAACAATAACGCAAATATCTGCCAAAGGTGGGCTTACTATAAACACATTAACGCCACCTAACACAAAAAATTCGACGGTTGAGAATAATTTAACCATTGGATCTATTGGTTCAACAAACGTTGGCACACTGCAACATTCGCAGCAGCAACAACTGTCGAGGATCTCAACAAATTTACCTAGCAGCATTACCTTAAGTACAGTCCAAGGAAATGGTACTGGAAACTTTGCAAGCCGGGTAATTACCAATCTAAATTTAAATAATGCTTTAAAAACAAGTGCGACAATAACCCCAGTTAATAGTGGAAAGCCTGCAACAAAAAACTACAAACCTCCATCGTATATAACGGCGGTGCAACAATTACAAATGCAAAAACAAAAACAACTCGCAGCTAATGTGCAAAAACAAGTACAGCAGCAACAAGTAGTGGCAGTAGCTGCGACAATGTTACCGACATCTACAACACTGAAAAGGGTTGATATTAGCAAAAGTGACAATTCAGCAGCAGACGCGGCTAAAGAAATCTTGATTTCAAAAAATAAAGTAGTACCAACATCAAAAATGGGCTCAGCAGTGCTAACAGCACCATCGTTATCAACAACAAATGCGCTACTACCAAACACTACAGTTATGGGGACAACAGCAATACTTCCCTCTACAACTACAATATTGGCAACTTCAAGAATTGAACCATTCGAAAAGTCTGTTACAGTTGTTTCAAATGATTGCATTTATACAAATCCGAGCGTTATAACAAGCCAAACCAGTAGTATAAATATTATCAATACCACAGCTTCAATAACAACGGTTCCAACATCACTAAGTACAGCGTCTGTAAATCCAGTTTTATTGAGAAGCACAATAAATACTGCAAATCATAATAATAGTGCAACGGGTCAAGGTGGCGGCGAGGATAGTGGCATTGAATCAATGGACGCTTCATCCGAAAAAAGTCCCCACCAACAGTCATTATGCAGTCCCGCACATCAACAGGTGGTAGAAAAAATTCCTCTTCCCAGCTCAATTATTGTAAATTCAGATTTATGCAGAAGGGAAATCAATAAAGTAAACTATAATGTAAAATCAACAGTTGAACAAATATTTGAACAGAAAATGCCAATCCAAATAAATCAGAAACAATTGAATAAAATTAGTTTGGTAACAGCGGATCCTAACGATGAAAGAGAGAAGGTTTTACATAAAATTGATGGTGCTGTTGATGACAAAACTCATATAAAATCTGAAAATAATACTGTTACAATAGAGAGGTCTGAACAAAAAATAAATGGACAATCTTTTGAGGATTTCAAAGATAATAATGATTTCATGTTAAAAAATTTAAATAGAAACGATGGAGAAAAGCTAGAATTAACAAAACCTTTTACAATAAACAACACTGTAGGAGAAATAAAGGACAATATCAAGCAAGTACAGAAACCTAATGTGAGTACTTTAAACATAGAGAAAGTAAATAGAAATAAAGCGGTTACTTGTGCTCCTGTTCCAATAAAAACTGTTACCACAAATTCGGAGAGTAAAATTGAGTCTGACACTAACAGTAACAAAGCGACTGGAAGTACGGCAAAAACTATACCCAATTCTGCAGTTACTATAACAATAACCAATAATCCTGTAACAAATATAGACAATTTAAATTCAGTTGATGTGACAGAAAACTCGCAACTAGTGCTCCAACCTATTTCTATTGAAATACCAATTCAATCAGAAAATGAATTACCAAGGGTACGTACTCGTGCAAGTAGTAGACTAGAAAGCCCTTTAGATGCGAATAAATGCCCCAGCACTATTATTGGTAGCGACGCAAACTTAAATAATAATAAACATATATTAGGTACTCGTTCTGCAATTAATGAACGCGTAAGTATTAGTCCCAAATTAAATGCAAATACAACTACTACAACTACAGTCATAACATCATCTTTAAATAAACGGACGCGAAGAGAATCAGAAGGTAGCAATGGCGGCAGTGAAACCGAACCAAAACGGCCGTGCAACAACAACATTGAGTCCAGCAATGCTATTACTGAAGCTGAAACTAAAAAAAATGAAACAGAGATGAGTACCACTGCAAGACCTCTATCAACTCTCATTGGAACATTAACTGATGCTAGTACCATAACAACAGATTTAGGTAAGACTGCTACAAATAAAATGGAAGAATCTTCTGATTCAGATGAGCCACTAATCGAAGTAGCGGAAAAAGTTCGCAATTCTAAAGCAGCAACAGGCAGCCATGAGTCTGTAGCGACAATACCAGCAACATTAGAAACGACACCAAATATTTCAATTGCTACTGAGAAAATTGCTAAAAGCAACCGGTCATATCAATATCAAAACAGTAAGTAGAAAAAATTGCAAGTATTTTAAAATCAAAACTATTTTAATTTCCTAGCCTAAAAACCTAAGATAACAACGTCCATATATGGGTAGTCTAAACATTATTGTTGTTATATACGGGCATATACGATTAAATGCAAGCCATTTGTTAGATAAATTTTCAAAAAAAAAAAAGCTTTTATCGTATTTATTCATAGCTTTAAAAATTAAAATACGTTCGATTAAATTTTATCTCTACACACAAATGTGTAGATTGATAAATTATTTATGTGAGCGAATTTATTAAATTAGAGTATCGTTCCCAGTACCTACATTGAGAATGCTGGGTCGGTTATGTTCATTTTTAATGAGTCCTTTGCATTATGTATGTTTGAAAAAACGTCAGTTTTTAGTGGTTATTGTAGAACTTTTGCTAAGTAAAGGAGAATATGGAGTAAAGAACGTGATAAGGGGGATCAAGTATGAAAATTGCTTGGAAATAGCTTGGTAACAAAAAATGCCACTTGTGACACAGGTACTTTATGTTTACTACTGCTGATGTAGAGATCAATGTATTATTTGCGTGCAATTTGTTTGAAAAAATTCGTCAAAAGTGAATTTTGAAAATTACGATGTGTGGCTTGTACGCGGTTATAATGCCTTCTGATGTAAACTGATAGCTGTGATTAAATATGACGCCAAATATAAAATAAATACTATTGATCTACTACTGCTATTGGGAGCCTTGTGATGTAGGAATCAAGAGAGTAGGCCGAAGAACTCGATAGAAAAAATTCACCATAACAATGATATGATTGATACTTTATTGTATCAAAGAATGGGTGGGTCTACGTACCAAAACCAATGAATATCCATTGTAGACCAGTCAAGGGACATTTAAGCAGCATATGTACTACATCAGGTCTCATATGTAAATCCTGCTATAAAAATACTGAGTCTCCATAGCCAAGAAATGGTGATACACTGTTACATAACATACAAAAATATCTGGAATCATAACTAATTCCATTAACGCAATAACCAACACCAAATCTAGCTAATATTCTTAAATTTTTGAGGCCAACGGGACTATGTTCGATGTTACAGGCTAGAACATACTTATATACTGGTAGAGGGTAGAACAATAGAACTTTTAGTCACGGTGGTTTATATACCTCTTTGTTCAGAACTCATGATTTTCTTTTGTTGCCAAAATTCACGGAAGGAACTGAAAGCTATACTGTATATTTTGTTGCATTCATGCATATTAATTATATATAAATATATATATAATTAATTAATATATGTGATATTTAAATATAGAATTAAAGAAATAAATTTGTAATGTGAATATATATTACTAATAATATGCCTTATTTTTAGAAACTACGCATATAATAACTGGTACTTCTACTACAATAACATCAACTACTATTACGCCAACTTTGGGTAATAATATTCCTTCTCCCACAACTGTTGCTGCAAAAAATCGCAGGATCAGCTCTAACAGTAACAATTCCTCAACAATTATTTCAACTACCAATAACAATGTTTCAAATCACACTAATCATAGTATAACGAATGCCCCAATATCTGGGCATGTCACACGAGGAGCTGCCAATGCGTTACTATCTAGTAACGTTTCTAGTGTTATCAACCCATCAACTAATAGTAATAGTAACAGTCCAACAGATGAAAAAATAGCTACAAGACGAAGTGTTCGAGCTAGTGCAGCGGCTAACAAAATTATATATAGTCGAGGAAATCACACTGTGACCACAGCTGTTATTGAAACAAAAACATCGCAAACTAAAGCAACTCATGTAACTGGAGAAACTGTAGCTGAAGCACGACGAAAAACTAGAAGTGCAGGTACAATACTTTGTTAAATATATATTAAAGATTGTTATATTTTTAAAATTTTGTATTTTTTTTATTAATATATATTAATAATATAATTATATAGCTTATAATGATAATTAAGTTAATATAATTTAATTTAAATCGGGCTTAAGGTCATTAGGTCTCAAATTCAAATAAAAATTGGTGAATAATGAACACTTCGTAGTTGTTAAATTTAATTTATAATTTTCTATCCTATCCTATCCTGATTTATCAGGTACGCCAATTTGACATAGGATTTTACTGGAGTCAACTACTATAAGCAATATTTTTCATTACTCTATATGTTCATATAGCTTAGTTTTTGAGATATTTGACCTAAAAGGATGTTTGTTTAATCCTAGAGTTAGTGTTTAATCCTAGAGTTATTGTTCAATCGTTAACTCTACTAATGATAAAATAATTGGTAGTTTACAAATCCAATTTAACTCGATATTAGGTTGGTTTTTTGATCAGCTTAGGTATATAATTTTCTATTAATCTTGTGGAAAGGAAAAAGATATGAAAAAAAAATTTTGCAATTGGATTAAAAATAAGCCTTGCCGCAATGTCCTTGAAAGTAGGAATTTTACATACAGATTCAACCTTACAACATCAAACTCGGCAATTTTATAATTATTTCTGAATAGTAATATATATATATATATATATAAATATATCGATAATATATTTTATAATTCTGGAACGAGAAATTTAAATTTCTTATAAGAGTTTAAAGTTATTTTGAAAGATTTCAGAGATATAGACTGTTAAAAATAACAATTTTTCAATACTTAATTTTACAATACTTAATTTTTTTAGAATTTTTTTTATGAACTTAAAAACAATTTAATACTTAATTAAAAAAAGTGAAATATGTTGATCTAATGTAAAAAAGGATTAACTTATTGAGAAATTTGAATATTTCGTTCTAAATTTTTACATATTCGAGATATATTTTGATAATTAAGAAATAATAAAAAAAAATTGCGGTGTCAGCTGTTGTAAGGTGGGACTGACAACCACCCTATTCCACACATTGGTTTGTGAAGAGTGTAAGAACTGCATATTCTCAGATGCACAGTTTGCGGTAGATGGCGTGTGAATTTTTTGTTAGTGTAATGCAAGTAAAAAGTTTACAACTTTAATCGTCAATATCTCTAGAAGTTAGTCTTATTTGTATATGGCGTAGTGGAAAATGTTACTAAAATTATCTGACTCTACTATAATCTGTGTCAAGTGGACATGTTCGAGTAATCGAAATCGCGGCAAATTAAATACTAAATGTCTTTTTTTTATTCTTTTTATAATATTATTTTGTTTTATTTTATCTTATTTTTTTTTTATATTTTGTTTATTATTTTTTTTTTTTTCATTATAATTTTTATAAATTATAATTTTATTATTTTTATAAATTATAATTTTATTTTTTATTATAATTTTTTTTTATTATACAGTCAAACGTCCATATTTTTTTTTTGGTATATATTTATATGTATTTTTTTATATACAATTTTTTACATATATATTTTTTATATTTTTTTCTTTATACATTTTTTTTGTTTTTTATTTTATTTTTTATTTATTTTTTTCTTTTTATTTTTTTATTTTATTTTGTTTATTTTTTATTTATTTGTTTATTTTTTATTTATTTGTTTATTTTTTATTTATTTGTTTATTTTTTATTTATTTGTTTATTTTTTATTTATTTATTTTTAATTTTTTTATTTTTTTATTTTGTTTTTTATTTATTTTTTTCATTTTATTTTTCTTTTTTTTTCTTTTTTTTTTCTTTTTTTTTTTATTTATTTTATTTTTTTGTAACTTAGGTAAAAGACTCATCGATCTTAAGTCTGCCTAAACTTAGTTATTAAATATAAATAAAAGGCCGATAATAATAATTATTGAAAAAAAAAATACATATTTTAACTTCCATGAATAGTTATCGGTGAAGGTTTACTAACAGAAGGACGTCGGAGAAGAGGATCACGAGACTTCAAGTGACCAACGTCTTGCGTGTCGGCTTTGAGTCAAATGGAGCACCAAGAAAAATTGGATGCCGAATTTGATAGCGATGGTAGCTTTTTATTAGCCGGGACGCAGGATAAATTACCTCAAACTCATTTTGATATTGATAATTCTGACTTTGATGATACAATAATAAACATACAAAACGATAGTTTAATGACTTCCGCTTTAAATTCATCAATGGAAACAGAAGAAAGTATTAATAGTTTTTCATATCAAGCAATTGACCAAGAACTGGATTATAAATCTGATGTTTCTGACAAAACAGTCAATTTTTTATTACGTGATATAAAACCAACGACTTTAAGTTGCACTAACTTTACAAACTTTGAGGATTTTAATTTATGTTTTAATAATATATTAAATATTGATAAGCTTCCTTTGAATGATGCAAAAGTAGATGAAATGCTAAATACAGTTGAACCAAATGATGACTTCGATCAAAATCAGGATGCGTCAAATGAAGATCATGACATAACATTACAAGAATCAACTACTTTAAAATTTGATGAAATGAATTTATTAAACTCAAATGTTGTATCTCAAAACAAGACGTGCATAAAGCTATCAGAGAGTAAAACATATCAGTGCAGTGCAGTTGCTTCAAATATTAATTTACAACGTACACTGCAAAGTCATTTTGATGAAAGTTTTAATATTTCACTTCAGGGTGATCTTAACAACAGTAACAGTAAAGAAATCAGTTTTGTGGAAGATGCTGATACTACCGGTAGCACAATATCAGCAGCAGCAACAATAGCAACATCCTCATCGTTATCATCATCCTCATCGCCCTCACCTCCTTCACCGTCATCACCATCGACATCAATAATAGATCCTAATTGTCCTAATAGAATAATAAATATATTCCGATAAAAACCCATTAGGATATTGATAATTGTAAACAAAATTAAGAGACACAATTTGTAAATATGCACTCATTGACTCTAATTATGCAGAAAAATATCATTTACTTTAAAAAAAAGAATTGTATAAAATGAAAATATGAATGTATTATTTCTGGATAATTTCTAGTCATAAAAAATTATATATAAACATATTAAAATTATATGGATAAATTGAGGAATATAACAATATATTTATTTTTAAATATCTAAACAAAAAAGGAAAATATTTTTTATTTTTTTATATTATCTTTTATTCTTTCGCGCATAAAACATTAGTTAAACGTAACATTGTTATTTTATTAATTTTCATTAATAATTAAAAAAAAATAAATAAATAAACAAGTTTTGTCTGGAATTGTATAAATATGAGAATAGTTCAAATTGTATATACATATATATAATTAATTCATTTACATAGAATTGAAGTCTTCAATCTTATTTGCATGCATTGAATTTGAGTTGATTTGCTTATTAATAATATAATCACTTGTAAAATGTAATAAAATTTGAATACCATAAATAAAATAGTATAAATTAAAGTATGAATATTATTATTAACTTATATACAACAAATATGCTATAAATATAAATATAAATGTATATTACATATGTCTCAATATATTATAAATATAACAAATTTGAATTAATAGATATAAACTCGTTTATATAGAGTGTGCTTTACAATATTTTAAGAATCTCCTTATGTCTATAATATTATGCAATACTTGAAACGCAATTGAAAAACTGAAAAGTTAAATTAATGAATTCAAATAAATATGAAAAAATAAAAAAATAGTCATGTAAACGCATATAATGTTGGTTTAAAATTAATGCAGCCATAATAGATAAATAAAAGGCAGATATACTGATTTGATAAGCGCTGCGATTTGATTTCAGCCAGCGTCTACACTGGCAAGGCTTTGGCAAGATTTTAGTAAAGAACATAACGCAGTTTTTCACTAACATTTATGTGTATGCATTCAGACATTATGTTTAGCCAGCTAATGTCTAGCCAGTGTAGATGCCAATTTAGTTAATTGCAGTATTCTGAGCAATTTTTCCAACTACACTATGTATTGTTATATGTTCGATCCGATTCTTGAAATATCAGATTTTAAAGTTGCTGTAGTTGTATTCTAGTTGTTGATGTTGAATTTGCAACTTTAATGCTGAATATTTTGTGAACTGAATATATCGAAACATAACGTTGTGGGAAGAGTTGCTGAGAATAATGAAATACAACAAAGTTCGTTATCAAGCCGTAACGCCCGACAAATCGGAATCGTGCCAGTAAGCGATGTTTACCAGTGTTCTCTTCTACTCCATCTTTATAACAACAGATGTAGATCTAATTAGCATTTTCCAATTTTTTTACATTTGTGAAAACGTATTTTTGTATATTTTAATAACGCAATGTATTTTAGATCCATGCAAGTTATGGATCTATGGATTTTTGACTATCTTAATAACGCAATGTATTTTGGATCTTAAATCACAAGTACGAATATTCCATGCCAGCTGATTTCGAATATTTGCTGACTTTTCAATAAGCCATTTAAAAAGCCACTTAGTTTAAATAATATTAAAAATTTCTTCACGTTTAGTTAAAAATTTATATAATAAATAATACTTATTGGCTTTTTTTTTACTTGAATTATTTTTGTATTATTTTATGTTAAAAAGAAACGAGACGCGTTCGTGACTTTTCAAAAGTCAACGCAAGGATATTTCTGTTTCTATAGATAAATGCGTGTATTGCGGATTATGTTTAAATAATATTAAATCACAAAATTACACTACCACAGAAGTGTAAATTTCCATTTATATTGAACCGCTTAATTTAAAAGCGGTAACGGAAGTCCATGTTCCAAAGAAATCGATTTATAGCTTTCAGCGCAGTTCAATTTGACTTAAAAAATTACAACTTATTTACAATTTTTAGCTAAATTATTATTATTATTATTTTTTTTTTTTATTTTTTTTTTTGAAGTTCCGTAGATACAGTAAATGTGATAGAATTTAGATTCTTTTAATGTATAAAATTTATTATTTTATTATTTTTTTGATATTTCATTTAGGAGTTACATTTTGTGAAACTAATTATGCTTTTTTAATTTAACAGTGTGAACATCAAATTTGATTTAAAACTTTAAAGTCATTAATAATAACGTGTTATTATGGAAATCATATTTGCTTCTAATTATTTTGATCATTTGTGAATTTGATATTTCAGAAAAGCATGAATCATTTTGTTAAACATTCTTAATAGTTATCAATTATTGCAATAATCAATTAAATATTTCGATTAAAATAAAGTGGACTTGCCCTACTTTTAAAATAATTAAATTATACGATAAATATTTAAATGAAGTTTTAACGTTAAAGGAATAAAAATATTATATATATATAAAACAATATTAATTAATTCATTGTTTTACAGAAACTTATGTAAATATTTTCTTGACTTAAGATTTAAAAATCTTTTAACACTTCAAGTTTCGTAATTCTATTTAATTTAGCTCTTATAGTAAGTTGTTATAAAATTAAGTTGTTTTATAATTTTAAGTTAAACAATGGCATATTAACTGCAAAAAAGCATATACAATAAAGTGAAAAAGGATACTCTTTTTAAATTATTAATTAAAAATAGCAAAATTAATAACTATATTTTTATATATATATGAAGGTACTTATTTTTATATGTATATAAGGATTTTTAATGGTTAACAAATTAAAAAAAGTGCAAAATACATTAAATAGCGAAAAAATAAAAATAAAAATAAAAACAAAAATAAAAAAAGGTTTGAAGCACTACTCTTTGAACAATTGAAATGAAATTAAATTAAATGTACTTTATTATTGTAAAATATTGAATGGATTGATTTATTAATTTAAGTAAATGTAAACACTATCTTTGATAAGCATAGAAGTATATGTTATATATAACAGTTATTTTGAATCTTTTATAAAATTTAATAAGAGATACAAAAGCTGTGATTTAATGATTATTTTTTTTTGGTTTTTTTTTTCTTTTGTTTTGAATCTATTGTAAAAATATATTAATTTTTGCTAATAATTGAAATGAATTTAATGTACCCTCTTTCCGCATGTGTAAAAAATACTGTTTATATAGCAATATAATTAACTAGTTATTTAAAGAAAAAAACGAAGTGTCTTAAAATAGTATTAGATTTTATAAAATTTTAATTTACTCATATTTAACGTTACGTATAAAAATTAAATCAAAGATTATAAAATCACTATAATAAAACGGAAAACAGAAAATTATTGCAATAAATTTAAGATGAAATAAAAATTATCTTTTAAATGTAAAACATCTATATTTCTTCTTTGGTATTAAATGGGGACTGGGGACTATAATGGTATATGGGTTGGTGTTCGTCTCTACCCTAAAAGTGTGCTCAAAGTAATATTACAAAATGAATAAAGACCCTACCGGGTTTGTTGAATGATGCGTGGCCATAGAACTCAATTCGTTGCTCCGGGACATATACCTGATCGTTTTGAAATCAGCCTATCAATGATCAATGACGAAGATATAAGCATATGAGAAGCTGTTGCGTGCAGGAAATTAAGCAAAATTTCTCATATGGTGTCATTTTTTTCATTAGCAAATAATATAAGCTTTATTACTTTCTTGCTGTACATATTCTCGTTTTCTTTTGTTTTTTGCTCGTTAATTTTTTGTCGGTCCTCCCCAGTGCAGCTTTCTGACTATGCCCATTGGAACTATGTGCATTATAATGATAGAGAACACAACATTCATGAAACATAGTGTTTTTATACAAGAAAATCAGGTTTTCAGAAATTTAAAAAGGTTTTCTCAAATGGGTATTGATACGCCAAAACTTATTTACTGTGAATGCCTTATCAGCAGCAAACATAGATACAAAATTATTACTCCTTGCAGCATACGCAACCATCAAAGGAGTTCATGTTCATAAAAAGCATAATGATCGGTTAAAGCAACTAGAATTAGCACAATAGATCACCTGTGCACAGCTGCATAACATTCTAATATAAAAATAATAATTAATAATATAATAATTATAAATAATATGTTATTATTT